CCAGTGTCCCCTGCCCCGCACCTTGTCACCCATCCCAGCACCTTGTCACCCATCCCAGTACCCTGTCACCCTTCCAGCTTCACCTGCTCAGCACCCTGTCACCCACCCAGCATCACCTGCTCAGCACCCTGTCACCTGCACCCTGTCACCCACCTGGTGTCACCCATCCCAGCTCCTTGTCACCCATCCCAGTACCCTGTCACCACCCAGCATCACTGCTCAGCACCTTGTCACCCATCTCAGCACCCTGTCACCCACCCAGCATCACCTGCTCAGCACCCTGTCACCTGCACCCTGTCACCCACCCAGTGTCACCCACCCAGCATCACCTGCTCAGCACCTTGTCACCCCTCCCAGCTCCTTGTCACCCGTCCCAGTACCCTGTCACCCACCCAGCATCACTGCTCAGCACCTTGTCACCCATCCCAGCACCCTGTCACCCACCCAGCATCACTGCTCAGCACCTTGTCACCCATCCCAGCACCCTGTCACCCACCCAGCATCACCTGCTCAGCACCTTGTCACCTGCACCCTGTCACCCACCCAGCATCTTGTCACCCGTCCCAGCACCTTGTCACCCTTCCAGCATCACCTGCTCAGCACCTTGTCACCTGCACCCTGTCACCCACCCAGCATCTTGTCACCCGTCCCAGCACCTTGTCACCCTTCCAGCATCACCTGCTCAGCACCTTGTCACCTGCACCCTGTCACCCACCCAGCATCTTGTCACCCGTCCCAGCACCTTGTCACCCTTCCAGCATCACCTGCTCAGCACCTTGTCACCTGCACCCTGTCACCCACCCAGCATCTTGTCACCCGTCCCAGCACCTTGTCACCCTTCCAGCATCACCTGCTCAGCACCCTGTCACCTGCACCCTGTCACCCACCTGGTGTCACCCATCCCAGCTCCTTGTCACCCATCCCAGTACCCTGTCACCACCCAGCATCACTGCTCAGCACCTTGTCACCCATCTCAGCACCCTGTCACCCACCCAGCATCACCTGCTCAGCACCCTGTCACCTGCACCCTGTCACCCACCCAGTGTCACCCACCCAGCATCACCTGCTCAGCACCTTGTCACCCCTCCCAGCTCCTTGTCACCCGTCCCAGTACCCTGTCACCCACCCAGCATCACTGCTCAGCACCTTGTCACCCATCCCAGCACCCTGTCACCCACCCAGCATCACTGCTCAGCACCTTGTCACCCATCCCAGCACCCTGTCACCCACCCAGCATCACCTGCTCAGCACCTTGTCACCTGCACCCTGTCACCCACCCAGCATCTTGTCACCCGTCCCAGCACCTTGTCACCCTTCCAGCATCACCTGCTCAGCACCCTGTCACCCATCCCAGTACCCTGTCACCCATCTCAGCACCTTGTCACCCGTCCAGCAGCACCCACCCCACGCCCTGTCACCCGTCCCAGAGCCCTGTCACCGTCCCAGTATCACCCACCCCACGCCCTGTCACCCACCCAGCACCCTGTCAGCAATCTGGCGTCACCTCCTGTGGTGTTCCTCTCACCGTGGTCCCCACCACCAGTGTCCATGCTGATGTCTCCCACCACCATGGTCCTGCTCTGATGTCCCCCACCGCCACGTCAGTACCCTGTCACCCATCTCAGCACCTTGTCACCCGTCCAGCAGCACCCACCCCACGCCCTGTCACCCGTCCCAGAGCCCTGTCACCGTCCCAGTATCACCCACCCCACGCCCTGTCACCCACCCAGCACCCTGTCAGCAATCTGGCGTCACCTCCTGTGGTGTTCCTCTCACCGTGGTCCCCACCACCAGTGTCCATGCTGATGTCTCCCACCACCATGGTCCTGCTCTGATGTCCCCCACCGCCACGTCACCACCACCATGGTCCTGCTCTGATGTTCTCCTCACCATGTCCCCCACCACCATGGCCCTCGCCACGTTCCCCACTGCTGTGTCCCTCACCGTGTCCCCTACCACAACGTCCCTGCTGATGTCCTTCACCGTGTTCCCCACCCAGTGTCCCCCACCGCCATGGCCCTGCTCTGATGTCCCCCACCGTGTCCCACACCCTGTCCCTCACCACCCTGACGCCTCCCCCGTCTCCACCACGTCCCCTTCCCCGACGTGTCCCCGTCCCCGCAGGCCTTCAGCCGGGCGCACCGCATCGGCCAGGCCAACAAGGTGATGATCTACCGCTTTGTGACGCGGGCGTCGGTGGAGGAACGGATCACGCAGGTGGCCAAGCGCAAGATGATGTTGACGCACCTGGTGGTGCGCCCGGGGCTGGGCTCCAAGGCGGGCTCCATGTCCAAGCAGGAGCTCGATGACATCCTCAAGTTTGGCACCGAGGAGCTCTTCAAGGATGAGAACGAGGGTCAGCACCCGACAGGGTTGGGGATGGGTGGGATGGGATGGAGGGGGGATGTGGGAAGTCGTGGTGGGACGTGATGAGATATGGGAAGTCGTGGTGGGACGTGATGAGATGTGGGAGGTCGTGGTGGGACGTGGTGGGACGTGATGAGATGTGGGAGGCTGTGGTGGGACGTGATGAGATGTGGGACGTGATGAGATGTGGGACGTGATGAGATGTGGGAGGTCGTGGTGGGACATGATGAGATGTGGGAGGCTGTGGTGGGACGTGATGAGATGTGGGAGGCTGTGGTGGGACGTGATGAGATATGGGAGGCTGTGGTGGGACGTGATGAGATGTGGGAGGTCATGGTGGAACGTGATGAAATGTGGGAGGTCATGGTGGGACGTGATGAGATGTGGGAGGTCGTGGTGGGACGTGATGAGATGTGGGAGGTCATGGTGGGACGTGATGAGATGTGGGAGGTCATGGTGGGACGTGATGAGATGTGGGAGGTCATGGTGGGACGTGATGAGATGTGGGAGGTCGTGGTGGGACGTGATGAGATGAGGGAGGTCGTGGTGGGACATGATGAGGTGTGAGAGGTCGTGGTGGGACGTGATGAGGTGTGGGAGGCTCTGGTGGGACATGGGAGGTCGTGGTGGGCCATGGGAGGCTCTGGTGGGACGTGAGATGTAGGAGGTTCTGGTGGGACGTGTTGAGATGTGGGAGGCTCTGGTGGAACGTGATGAGATGTGGGAGGCTCTGGTGGGACATGGGAGGTCGTGGTGGGCCATGGGAGGCTCTGGTGGGACGTGAGATGTAGGAGGGTCTGGTGGGACGTGTTGAGATGGGGGGGGCTCTGGTGGGACATGATGAGGTGTGAGAGGTCGTGGTGGGACGTGATGAGATATGGGAGGCTGTGGTGGGACGTGATGAGATATGGGAGGCTGTGGTGGGACATGGGAGGTCGTGGTGGGCCATGGGAGGCTCTGGTGGGACGTGATGAGATGTGGAAGTCTCTGGTGGGATGTGATGAGATGTAGGAGGTTCTGGTGGGCCTTGGGAGGCCGTGGTGGGACGTGGGAGTCTCTGGTGGGATGTAGGAGGCCATGGTAGGACATGGGAGCCCATGGTGGGCTGTGACTGGGCTTGCAAAGCCATACTGGGATGTGCAAGGTCATGCTGGGTCATGTGGGACCATGTTGAGCCATGTCAGGCCATGTTGGGTCGTGTTGGACCATACTGGGCCACATTGGACTGTTTTGGGCTGTGTTGGTCCACGTGAGGCTGTGTTGGACCGTGTTGGGCCATAGTGGGTCATATCAGGCCATGTTGGGCTGTACTGGGCCATGCTGAACCATGTTGGGTCGTGCTGGGCCATACTAGGTCATGTCAGCCCATGTTGGACCATGTTGGGCTGTGTTGGGCTGTACTGGGCCATGTTGGGTCATGTTGGGCCATACTGGGCCTTGTTGGACCATGGTGGGCTGTGCTGGGCCGTGCTGGACCACATTGGGCCATGTTGGGCCACGCTAGGCCATACTAGGTCATGTTAGCCCATGTTGGACCATGTTGGGTCATGTTGGGCTGTACCAGATCATGTTGGGTCATGTTGGACCATACTGGGCCGTATTGGACCACATTGGGCTGTGCTAGACCATGTTGGACCATACTGGGCCATGTTGGACCATGTTGGGCCGTACAAGACCATGTTGGACCGTACTGGGCCATGTTGGACCATATTGGGCCATGTTGAGCTGTGTGAGGCCACATTGGACCATACTGGACTGTGTTGGGCCATGTTGGGCCATGCTGGGCTCTACTGGGCCATACTAGGTCATGTTAGCCTATGTTGGGCCGTGCTGGACCATGTTGGGCCATGCTGGGCCATATTGGATCATGTTGGACCGTGCTGAGCCATGTTGCACTATAAAGGACCATATTGGATCATGTTGGACCGTGCTGGGCCGTGTTGGCCCATACTGGGCCATATTGGACCATGTTGGGCTGTGCTGGGCCATGTTGGTCCATACTGGGCCATATTGGACCATGTTGGTCCATACTGGGCCATATTGGACCATGTTGGACTGTGCTTGACTATGTTGGACCATACTGGACCATACTGGGCCATGTTGGACCATGTTGGGCCTTGCTGGGCCGTGTTGGACCATACTGGGCCATATTGGACCATGTTGGACTGTACTGGGCCATGTTGGACTGTACTGGGCCATGTTGGACTGTACTGGGCCATACTGGGCCATGTTGGACCATGTTGGGCCATGCTGGGCCATGTTGGACCATACTGGGCCATATTGGACCATGTTGACCATACTGGACCATGTTGGGCCTTGCTGGGCCGTGTTGGACCATACTGGGCCATATTGGACCATGTTGGACTGTACTGGGCCATGTTGGACTGTACTGGGCCATACTGGGCCATGTTGGACTGTACTGGGCCATACTGGGCCATGTTGGACCATACTTGGCCATGCTGGGCCATGTTGGACCATACTGGGCCATATTGGACCATGTTGACCATACTGGGCCATGTTGGGCCGTGTTGGACCATGTTGGCCCATACTGGGCCGTGTTGGACCATGTTGGCCCATACTGGGCCGTACAAGGCCGTGTTGGCCCATGTCGGAGCGTGCCGAGGCCGTGTTGAGCCGTGGCAGGCCCTGCTGGCCCACGTCAGGCCGTGTCATCAGCGTGTCACCGGCGCAGGGGACAACAAGGAGGAGGACAGTAGCGTCATCCACTACGACAACGAGGCCATCGCCCGCCTGCTGGACCGCAACCAGGACGCCACCGACGACGCCGACGTCCAGAACATGAACGAGTATCTCAGCTCCTTCAAGGTGGCCCAGTACGTCGTGCGGGAGGAGGACAAGGTGCGCCCAGGGGACGGGGACGGTGGGGACAGTGGGGACGACGGAGATGGGGACGATGGAGACGATGGAGGTGGTGGGGACGATGGAAATGGGGATGGTGGAGAAGATGGAGATGGTGGGGACGATGGAAATGGGGAAGATGGAGAAGATGGAGGTGGTGGGGACGATGGAAATGGGGATGATGGAGAAGATGGAGGTGGTGGGGACGATGGAGATGGGGATGATGGAGAAGATGGAGGTGGTGGGGACGATGGAGATGGGGAAGATGGAGAAGATGGAGGTGGTGGGGACGACGGAGATGGGGATGATGGAGAAGATGGAGGTGGTGGGGACGACGGAGATGGGGATGATGGAGAAGATGGAGGTGGTGGGGACGACGGAGATGGGGACAATAGAGATGATGGGGGGGGACGATGGAGGTGGTGGGACAATGGAGATGAGTATGATGGGGTGGAGATGGGAATGGTGGAGGTAATGGGGATGGTGGAGGTGATGGAGATGGGAGATGATGGGGACGATGGAGATGAGGATGAAGGAGATGGAGATGGAGGTGGAGATGAGGATGAAGGAGATGTAGGTGATGGAGGAGGAGATGATGGAGATGAGGATGAAGGAGATGCAGATGTAGGCAATGGAGATGAGGATGAAGGAGATGGAGATGTAGACAATGGAGATGTGGATGATGGAAGTGGAGATGATGGAGATGTAGATGATGGAGGTGGAGATGAGGATGATGGAGATGTAGGTGATGGAGGTGGAGATGAGGATGAAGGAGATGGAGATGTAGACAATGGAGATGTGGATGATGGAAGTGGAGATGATGGAGATGTAGATGATGGAGGTGGAGATGAGGATGATGGAGATGTAGGTGATGGAGGTGGAGATGAGGATGAAGGAGATGGAAATGATGGGGACGATGGAGATGTAGATGATGGAGATGAGGATGATGGAGGTGCAGATGGGAACGCTGGAGACAATAGAGATGGGGATGATGGAGATGATGGAGGTGGAAATGGGGATGAAGGGTTCCTATGGGTGGCCTGGGTGGTTCAGGGTGGCCGCTGATGGGCCGTGTCCCAGCAGATCGAGGAGATCGAGCGGGAGATCATCAAGCAGGAGGAGAACGTCGACCCCGACTACTGGGAGAAGCTGCTGCGGCACCACTACGAGCAGCAGCAGGAGGACCTGGCCCGAAACCTGGGCAAGGGCAAGCGGGTGCGCAAGCAGGTCAACTACAACGACGCCGCCCAGGAGGACCAAGGTGGGCACTGGGAGGGACTGGGAGGCACTGGGATGGACTGGGAGGCACTGGGAAGGTGCTAGGATGCACTGGGAAGGCACTGGGAGGAGCTGGTGCGAGGGCAAGCTGGTGCCCAAGCAGGTCAAGTACAACAACACTGCCCAGAAGGACCAAGATGGGCACTGGGATGGACTGGGAGGCACTGGGAAGGCACTGGGACACACTGGGAGGACCTGGGTGGCAACCTGGGCAAGGGCAAGATGGTGCCCAAGTAGATCAACTACAACGATGCCACCCAGGGGGACCAAGGTGGGCACTGGGAGGCACTGGGAGGTACTGGGACACACTGGGAAGGCACTGGGAAGGTACTGGGAGGCACTGGGAGGAGCTGGTGCAAGGACAAGCGGGTCCCTGGCAGGGGTACCTGGGTATAGGGGTACCTGGGTGTTGGGGTACCCAGGTGTGGGGGTACCTGGGTACAGGGGTACCTGGGTGCGGGGGTACCTGAGTGCAGGGGTGCCCAGGTGTTGAGGTGTAGGGGTGCCCGGGTGTGGGGGTACCTGGGTGTTGGGGTACCCGGGTGCAGGGGTACCTGGGTGTTGGTTTCGGGGGTACCTGGGTGTTGGCGTGTGGGGGTACCCAGATGCGGGGGTACCTGGGTGTGGGGGTGCCCAGGTGTTGAGGTGTGGGGGTACTTGAGTACAGGGGTACCTGGGTGTGGGGGTGCGGGGGTACCCAGGTG